TATGAACTTTTTAAACAATTTTATATTGATTAAAATTAAAAATTATGATGTTTCAGGAATTATTCATGACCGTTTTAATGGCAAAGGTTACTATTATTCATGGGCTGATCCAAGAACAAATGGGCAAGAAGTTGATTGGTTAGCAGGCAGAAATTTCTGTAGGCAAAGGTGTATGGATCTGGTCTCCTTAGAAACTTCTGCAGAAAATGAATTTATCAAAAACCAAATTGTTCGGGGTATTAAAATATTTTGAAATCCTGTATGTTATACAACATAGCAAGGAGAACATAAATAAACATTTCGATTTTCAGATAATGTAAAATATATTTGGACGTCCGGCCGTCTTTGTGATTTCAAAGGATGTGATAGGCCTGACCTACAACCACTTCATGTTAATGGTTGGTTCTGGACTGCAGAATTACAAAAACTTGCACCAGCTAATGATCGCTCTCAAAATGATTGGTCTGAAAGTGGAGGGTAAATATAAGTTTCTTTACTTTTATAGAATAAATTAGTAAATATAGAATAGTTATGAATATTAAAAATTAAAAATATTAATTGCATATTATAACATACTTGATGACTTTGATCTTTTGAAAAAATAATTATCTTGTTAAAGATGTCTTAACAATCATAATATGCACCTTTTTGTGCAGAGTAATTCCATTTAAGTTACATTACCTTATTTTTAATAGCAATGGAGATGTTTTAGGTGTTACAGTGTGTTTTCACAAAGTACATATATTTTATTAATGTATTCAAAAAAGTTCTTGTATTTCAAATTAATAATTAAGAAGTAACAATGTTTATTGTAGTATTGGAAAGCCACAACCTGATAATCGAGAGGCTATACAACAAGGGGGTGCTCCAGAAAATTGTTTGGCTGTACTGAATCAATTTTATAAAGATGGAGTTCATTGGCATGATGTTGCTTGCCATCATAAGAAACCATGGGTGTGTGAAGATAATGAATCCTTATTGAAATATGTTCATTTTACCAATCAGAAAATACGTGTTTAAAATAAATAAAACAAAGAGAAATGAATGTTATACCTTTATTGTAAATTACGTAATTATAAGTATTAAAAACTTTTTAATGTATTTATATACTTTATAAAAATGACTATAAAATTAGTAGTATTACATAAGATGAATCACTATAATTTATTACTTGAAATAGTATCTTTATCTTTGGTTTTATAAAAAATATTTCAGGAGAGACATGTTTAAAAGGGCGTATTATATGCTTAAACAAAATTTTTACAAAACCTTATAATTTAAAAAATCTCAGGATTACCTTAATTTGTTAACAAGGGTTACCAATTTTGTTGCACTGCCTAATAAATTATAGTTCAGAGCATTCATTGTGCCTTCAATAAAGGCAATATTTTCGACTCAGTTTGATGCTATTCATCCTCAAACCATTACGTGCTCACCGTGTTTTACAGTAGCTCGCAAATTCTTTTGCTGCAGTTCCGTGTTAGGCGTTCACCATACGAATTTTTTTCAATCTGATACGAAAACGTTAAATTTACTTTCATCGGAATAAATTATGTTTGTAAGAAGCTATCAAATGAAATATTGTTCAACAATATTTTTTCTTTTTCTAAATAATTATTTCGAAAAAACGAGGTATACAAATACTTCCTTTACTTACTGTATATTATATAAATAGGAAATTGGAGTTTCCTATATTAAATAGGAAACCTCATTGGT